CAAAAGCAAAATACCCTCGCAAAGTACTAAAACTCGGCTCAGCTTAGCCTTTAAAACACGTTCGTTCCTGCACTAATAAGGCATTACAGTTATCATGGGTGCCACTCCGGCCACCTGGGTAACATTCCTCGGGCGTTGAGTGACGTTCCCCCGAGGACTGGGTAACGTAGTTTGGGAGTGGCGAATGGAAAGAGGGAGAGGTTTGGTAATGATTTGAGCCGAAGGGACTCGTGACAAGGAAGGGGTATCAAATTTCAAGCTGAGTATAAAAAACCTACAAAGGTTCCTTCCTCTCAAATCTTGTCGCACTTGCAGTTTCTGCTTTTAAGCTGGGTCTCAGTTCCTTAGCAGTCGGAACATCGTCTCTTTCCTTTCACTACAGCCCCGAGACCTAAACCACCATCTCCCGTCTTCATCCCGCTTCCCCTCTCTTCAACTTCAACTCTCTATATGCCCAACCCTTCAGTCACTACAACTCGCTTTCCGATCAGACCGGGCCGGACCAAGCCAGATTTTAGTACCCGAGTTAGTGAAGCGCTGCTATTTATTGACTTAACATCAGAGAGAAGCACCGGTCCTAGGGCATCTTTCTGGTACATGTTTTCTTTCTTTATCACCCACAAATAAAAACTTCAAATTTTTTTAGCTGCTGATTTATATACAATTCGCAACGGGCAGTGCCCTTGAAGAGGTCTAATTAGAATTTTCTTCCGAATACGAACAATGTTTTGAAAATTTATTGCATTTTAAATTAACTATGATGATAATGTTCTTCATAATATAGTTGTCGGAGACTGTTTTAGATATGCGCTCTCTAAAATCAGCTAACGTGCTTTGTCCTTTTACCTACCCTATCCCCTACCAATCTTAGTTCCCGGAGAGCTATTTATAAAAAAAAAAAAACCAAGTCGTTTACTGTTGGAATATTTAGGTAATTCATTAACTTTAGAATAGAATTTCAAGTCAAGAAAGATATCCAAAATATGAGGAAAAATAAAATTAAAAAAAAAAACTAATGTCCTTTCTATTCTCGTTTCACTTTGTTTAAAACATACAAATAGACTTTGTCACCGAAATTCCTTAAGACAATTCTCACCACTTTTAGAATAGCAAAGGGCAAAAGAAGAGTTAAAATGGTGAATGGTAGGAAAATATCAAGATTGTGGTACACAATAAAATTGAGCTTCCTTCCCTCAATTTGCAGTTCCGGTAGCATGCCATTATTGTTTGCCACAAACTCAATGTATTTAACAAGTCGTTCCGCTGCGCTGAATGGTTTTGTTGTGATAAGCTTAGCCATTCGTTTCGCATTTTTTGCATAGCTAAAAAAGGATACCGTCTTTGACTAATATTTTTATGATTACATAATCTTGCAAAGGTGCAAAAACGAATTTATGGCTTAAAAAAATGAATGAAAACTAGATGACTTCGCTGTTTCCATTTCTAAAAAATACGTTTTTCCAATTTTTATGAAAGATCGAGGCTGCCTCGTCATCCGATGCAA